CAGTGAGTGAGAAGGAAGATCGAATCTGTTCCTCTTCTCGGTTCTTGCAGTTGAACAAAGTGAACAAGATCAACAACAACAAGAATGGGGTCAATAGCGAAAAAGGGTCTGCAACAGTACTTGCTACAGCTTCAGCAACACCCTTTACGAACAAAGGTAGCACCTTTTTCCTCATCTCTTGACCAATCTTTTTCTTTTCCTTCAGTTTTTCTCTTTGATTTGTGTAGTGGGTTTGGGCTATTTTGAGTTTTTAGCTTAATTGATGATGTGGGTCTTCTTTAATTTCCTGTAAAGTTTCTATCTTGGTAAAAAGATCACACCTTTTTTTCCCTGTACTTTCTTGATGTTTTTGCTAAATTTGCTTAAGTTTAGCAGTATTGGTACTGGGATATTCTTTGATTGATTGAATCTTTGGAAATACGTATGATGGCAGGCAATAACTGCGGGAGTGTTGTCAGCGATTAGTGATATAGTGGCTCAGAAGATCACTGGCATTCAGAAACTTCAAGTCAGACGTCTTCTCCTCAAAGTGGTACGATTCCTCTTGCTTCCCTTTGCATAGGTTTATACTTTTACTACAAAATAATATATGGAGGTCATTTTTGCAAATTGTTATGCACTCCCATGGTTGCATTTTATCTATCTGAGCTCGGGTACGTTGACTTTGATAATCTGATGAAGCTTTAGCATTTTTGCACTCCCATGGTTGCATTTATGTATTGGTTTCTGTTTCTTTTGATAAAAGATCAGCTTGGTTCTATAACATTACCTTAGACACTAGTCTCTTTCATTTCTTTTTTGATGATGGTGGTGATCGGCCTGTTTACGCACACGAACTAATATTCTGGGCAGCCTGATATAACCCATAAGTACTTGTATTGAGTAAACCTGCCTGTCAAGGTTAGAGCAGACACACTGAGAGTTGTAGCTTGGAATATAGAACTTCATTGCCGCAATCACTCAGCCATAACCTTAAGCCCTAGTCTCTTTATACTATGCCAACTGTATATCAATTTTAGCATCCGAGTGCATCAGGTACAGGAAGTTAACGCTAAGTGAACCAATTCGTTGTTAGCATGCTGTTTGGCTTAGATTGGAAGTGGTAAATTTACATGTCAACTGTCACTCAGGGTAACGTGATCAGCTTTTCTCAATTTTTTCTAAAAATGGCAGAATTATTGGCTGAAAAGAGTGCATATTTCAGCAGAATTGATCTTAAAATGTAGGGTAAGGTTGCGTACAATAGACCCTTGTGATCCGGTCCTTCCCCGGATCGCGCACATAGCGGGAGCTTAGTTCACCGGGCTGTCCTTTTTTTTTTTTTTTTTTTTTTAATTTTTTTTAATCTTGAATGCACTCTAGTTTACATTGGCACAGATGACATTATTGTCTCTTGAATCTTTATGTTAGGATCCCAGTGATCCGCTCTCGTTTGGATAAATACTTCAGATGTGCCCATCTAGTGGTTGGACGGATAACTTGATTTCAGATTCTAGTTCTTCTTCTAGACGAAATTTTTTACAACTTACGGGAAAAAGTGTTTTGGTTATGAGCCGCAAAGGATGTTACAGATATTCTATTTTTTTGCCCCTACTGCACAAAGGCTTCTGCACTTGAGTCTTAGAGCTGTAGCCTTTGTTGAGGAGATGAGGGGTTATTTCTGGTTAATCTTATTATTTCCGCTTCGAGATCGTCAAATCCTAAAACAGGAGTGGAATCTTACAAGTAGAACTATACGTGGAATATGATTACTTGATACGCCACTATTCTAGGAAAGTTGGAAATCAGAGAAGGAAATGTTTCAAATAATTGACGACTAGTATGGAATATGCTTGAGATCACTTAAATATCTTGAGTTGCTTTAAAGAATTGTGATTGATGTCTGAGAAACTGAAAACAGGGCAAGTAGTTACCAGTATGCATATATAGAAAACTTTCTCTTCTTGGCTAACTTTAGTTGCAATGCGCGAGTGGAGCAATCATGGACATAGATGATTCATACAGCCGACCTCAACTAGTTTGAGATTTAGGCGGAGTAGTTATTGGTGTAGGTGTAGTTGCAATTCTGTGTCTAATTCTCTTCAATTTCGGGGTTGTTTCAGACATGACACATCCAAATCATTTTTCATTTAGTATCATATTCTTCTGCTTGCGCGTATGGGATGTCATCATCTGCTTTAGCTGTAACTGCATGCAGCTTTTTGGTGTTGTCTATCTTGGACCATTTGGGCATTTTCTTCACTTAGTACTGGACAAAATTTTCAAGGGGAAACGAGACAAGAGTACAGTTGCCAAAAAGGTATGCTAAACCCTTTCTTCTTTGATGATTAGGATACGCATCAGGAAACAGGATATTCTATCTTGTAAGCAGAAGTTACACATTTATCTTGTAATTTATGGATCTGATCTACCTCCTTTTTGGTCTTCAACGTGAATCTATACTAATAAAACTGCTTAACTCTATGCTCACGACCTGGTAAATTGCTACATTGCTCTGCTTGAAAGTCTACTTGTTTACTGTTTTGCCAAATAATGTTAACAGATGAGAAATAAGTGAATAAACAATGCTGATAAATATACAAGAATGTGAACTTGCATTTTAAATTGTTTCAGGTGTTGCTGGAACAAGTTACATCGTCACCCTGGAATAACTTACTTTTCATGGTTTACTATGGATTAGTTGTTGAAAGTGAGTTTCTATATCGAGTTGCCACTGCCTTTCAACTTTGCAACTCATAAACTATTACTTGGTATACCATCATGTTCTACAACTAAATGTCCAATAAGTAGAGAAAAATGGCCTTGCAGTCAAATTAGGATTTGATATTTATGGAGTCAAAGGGCATGCAAATAGACATAATCTTCAAGTTAAAGAGTTATAATTGCAAAGAAGCTTGTAGTATTAGAGGAAGAGCTCTTGAACCCTCTGAAATAGGACTTAAGAGGTTCTAACACTCATCCTGTAGTAAAATGAGGAAATATATCTTTTTACCTTCCATCCTATCCTAGAAACAATCGAAGACAGGTGATGAATGTTCCATTAAAGGAAAGTAAACCATGAGTTTCTCGCTTCCTTGCAATTCCTTCTCCTTCATGGAGCCATATGTCGCATAAGTTTTTGAAAGATCTGCGGAAATGGATCATATAACAGTCTGGCTCATTTAAGTTTGCTGACCTTCCATTAGTTAGAGATATGATTATGTACACACGGAATAAAGGTTTTGGCTGAACATTATCTTGTATTATCACAGGAAGACCCTGGATCCAGGTGAAATCTAATATCAAGAGGGAATATCCAAAAGTGCAATATACAGCTTGGGCGGTTTGTCAAATTCGCCCTCTCCCAAGTCCAATTTGTTTCTCTAATCCTGTTCTTTAGTGAATGATGACTGTAGGTATTATTCATGTATGTGCAGTTTTGGCCAGTTGTTGGGTGGGTAAATCACCTGTATGTTCCACTGCAATTCAGAGTGATCTTTCACAGTATTATCGCATGTTGCTGGTATGCACCATTTCCCTGCTTGTTGCTGTTTAGGCTACAATCAAGTATGTTCCGATCTTTATAATTTCAATCACAGTATTATTAATGCTCTCTGTTTTTTAATCAATTTTCAGGGGAATATTTTTGAATCTACGTGCAAGGTCGATGGTTTTAAAAAAGGCTTGAAATCCTCAGAGTTGATATATGAACATGGCAACAAAGATATTGAAAGTTGCTCGGGATGCTTATTTTGTTCTGATCTTCACCTTTTTTCTTTTCTGTTCTTAAAATCAAGACATCTTAATTAAACAAAATGGCATGTTTGTGACAGAGCAAGTGCATACTCAGAATGTTTCTCACATGGCAATGTGAAAAGTTGTCAAATCGTGGCAAAAGTTTATTACTTTCTTTTTTCTCCTAATTCTATCTTTTTGATGTTCTCATCTTTGAAATTCAGCAGTGGCTGGCTTGCTGATAATATATGAACGTAAAAGGCATTAATCTTAATTTGAAACTTTTCTCATCTTTGAAATAATAAATAAAGTCCGTCACCTGAGTTGAAAAATATGTCATCACTCATCATATACTCCTTGTTGTCTTCTAAAGCAGGAGTATTTTAGAATTAAATGAACTTTAACAACTACAATATCATAAAATTCCAAAAATCTCGGGGAATTGACAATCCACGTGATTTTTAAAATGATTTATCTTAGAAACAACGTAGAGAATTATAATTTAGTACGCCTTTCAAATGCTATTACTTCTGGCCGATAAATGTAGGCTATGGTTAATTGGTGTTAATTGTGTAAATACTCACGGACTCAAATCTATTTTCTTTCGAATTTCTTACACAATAAAGTTTATTTATTTTGGTATCCCGTAAAATTCATCTCATCAATTTGCGACGCAGGTCGAGCTAATGATTTGATCTTGCAAACTAAAAAAAGAGAAAAAGAAGAAGAAAACTAGATATGTTTTTTATAACAGTTTGGATCTTGTTTTCCGAGAACCGGTGTCCAATATCCGTGTTTTATTATAATGCTATAACAATTGAAAATATAAACAAACAAAAAAAAATCGTACATTTTTTCATTCTTTCTTGCTTGTAATTGACTGGTTAATGAAGTAAATCCACTTATAAATTTATACAAAATAATCATTTTTACTTTCAAGAAATGTGGTTAACTCTTAATTAAATTCAATAATTGAAAGAATGTAATTTAAGCAAGTAGTATCATACATGAAATGTATAATTGAAACACAGGATTTGAGTTGTCAGGGTCGTGAGTATAGTTTTGGCTGTTTCAAATTTCAAAATGAAAGTCAATACGAGTAGACGACAAGAAAAAAAAGTCAATAAGAGTACGTGCAATGAGGCAAAGGGCTAAGCCAAAATAAGAAATAGTCTTGGCCATAAGGCAACATAAGAAATTGTCTTGGCCATGTACCCATTCAATTCAAACTTTGAATAAATTACTATTATCTCAAATTTTTTTCCAGTCAAATCTTACATCCATTGTCAATTCTCTCTCTCTCTATATATGTCCAATGTCTTCTTTGTTTACCATAATCACAATCAATTAGCAGGTTTTCTCCTCTTTTTTTCCAATCATAAATCATCATTTAAAATCCCATTGAAGAACAAAAAAAATGGCATTAATCCTCCAATCTTCAAGTTTCTTAAGTTCTTGCAGTACTTCTGTTCCCTCAACATCATCTTGTAGTTGCAGAAGAGGATTGATTAGAGCGAATATTAATATTCCAAATAATCAGACAATTAAAATCTCCCTTCCCAGGTTTCAAAGAAGAGCGAGATTAGTGCAGGAACAAGAGTTGATTAGTGGATTTTCAACCATAAGCACCAACAACCCAATTGAGAAACAATTTAGCCCATCAAGAATTGGTCCTGATCCGCTGGTTATCAAGAAGCTTTACGCAATCAAGGAGGCAGTTGCAGATAGAGTGGAGATGCATAGGAATATTGGGGAACAGAGAAGCCAGTGGAACAATATGCTTTTGACATCCATTAATGGCATAACTTTAGCTGCTGCTACCATGACTGGAATTGCAGTTAGCAGTGGTGATCCTGTTTTGGGACTGAAGATGTCTTCTACTTTGTTGTATTTGACTGCTACTGGCATGTTGGTGATCATGAACAAGATCCAACCATCCCAGCTTGCTGAAGAACAAAGAAACGCAACAAGGCTGTTTCAAGATCTCTATAACCAAATCGAAACAACTTTATCAATTGGTCATCCTTCAGCTATTGATGTGAAAGAGGCTATGGACAGAGTATTGGCTCTTGACAAAGCCTACCCACTCCCTCTTCTTGGCGTAATGCTTGAAAAATTTCCAACTTCTGTGGAACCTGCTGTTTGGTGGCCTCAACAACGTCGAAGACAGCCCAAAAGAGTCAGTGACGGCGATAAATATAATGGTTGGAACGGGAAATTGGAAGAGGAAATGGAAGAAATAATGGGAGTATTAAGCAGAAAAGACCAAGAAGAATATATTAGTCTGGGGAAAAAGGCCTTGAAATTTAACAAGTTTTTAGCCATTTCTGGTCCTTTACTCACAGGCCTAGCAGCGGTTGGCTCTGCATTTGCAGATTCTTCTCCTTCTCATGGATCTTGGGCAGCTATGTTTGGAATTGTTGGTGGCGCTTTAGCAAGCGTTGTTAACACGGTTGAGCATGGTGGACAAGCTGGAATGGTATTCGAAATGTATCGAAGTAACGCTGGTTTCTTCAGGTATATGCAGGAATCAGTTGAGTCCAACTTGACAGAAACAGATATGGAGAGAAGAGAAAATGGTGAAGTGTTTGAAATGAAAATGGCTTTGAAGTTAGGTAGGAGCTTATCTGACCTAAGAGATCTTGCTGCTGGTGCTTCGTCGAAGGGAGAGCAAATTGAGTTCGGAAGCAAGCTCTTCTAAAATTTTGACAATTCATAGTGTAATGCATAGACAAAATCAAGTACATATCATTGTCTATAATTAAGAGTAGGGCTAACTCATTCTTTCAGATTCAAATGTTACTTAATTAAATTGCTTATAACAGTTTCTCAGGCCATCTTGCTAGCTGCAAGTGCCTTGATTTGTTCTTTTTTCTTCTGTTGAGACTTGTATAATTATATTTTTATATGTAATGATAGTTAGTTTTACACTTAGTGAAATTAGTTAGTGGGCCAGCTTAGCCAACTCAGCATTAGTTGTAATTTTCGGTATTGTACATGTATATACTTTGTGCTACAGTGAGAAAAGAAGGTGAGCTTTCACTTTCCCAATTTCTATTTCTCTCTTATGTTTTCTTTCTCACATAACTCTCTAGAAAGACTCCATTGAAGCTCCAGATCGAGTTTCAAGCTCATCTTCAATCCCAGTTCTAACATGGTATCAGAGCAAGGAAGCTCATACCCAACTATCCGCCATCGTCCCTCTCAACTTCGCCCACTACTTTCTTTCTTCTGAGTCTGTCTCTCTAGTTCGATCGTCATTTGCCTAATTTGTTCGAATTGCAAAATTGATAACTGATCCTTCAAGTTTTATCTGAAATTAGCGTGTCACACAACAGATTCATCTATTCATGGCTGTATTAGATCAGGAAGATACATCTGTTGGTGATACCAGTGTCGCCACTGCAATGAGCACCAGAATAGATCCAAGTGATCCACTCTACCTACATCCGTCAGACAATCCTGGAGCGATGCTTGTCTCAGCTCCTTTCAGTGGAATTGGGTATAGATCCTGGAGATGTAGTGTCATGCGAGGTTTGTCTGTCAAAAACAAGTTAGGGTTTATAAGTGGAGAGTGCAAATCACCAGATCCTCAATCTCAAAGATTTCGACAATGGGAGCGATGCGACGATGTGATAACGTCTTAGATTCTAAATTCACTCTCCAAAGATATTGCTGACAATGTGGAATATGCTAATAATGCTGTTGAGTTGTGGAGAGAATTAGAGGATCACTATGAGCAAACTAATGGTACTAGGTTGTACCAGATTCAAAAAGAGATAAACGACCTGTCTCAAGGTGTGTTGGACATTAAAGGTTATTACATTAAACAGAAAAAGCTCCGGGAAGAGCTGAATACTTTGAGTAAGAAGACTCACTGCAGTTGTACCTGTAATTGTGGTGCCAAGGAGAACATGCACAAGGCCGAGCAGGACATGAGATTGATACAGTTCCTTATGGAACTTAATGAGGTCTACATTGTTGTACGTGGAAGCATTCTTATGATGAATCTGCTGCCAACTCTTGTACATGCTTTTTCACTGCTCATTCAGGATGAGAAGCAGAGAGAGATCAAATCAATTAACCAAATGCTTTTTGAGTCTGCTTTCCTAAATGTCAACACATCAAAACCCGGTTCCTACAGAATAGATTAATCTGCCAATAGCAATTCCATCAGAGGCAATAAGCCTCAACAATTTTGTGATTACTGTAAGAGACCAGGGCATACCAAGGACAATTGCTATAAACTACACGGGTACCCTCAGAGTTTTGGCAATTCACACACTCAAAGTTCAAATGCAGGACAAAACATGAATCAAGCTGCAAGGTTCAACAAAAGAACGAGAATAGTAGCCAGTATGCAAGGGACCTCTCGGAAAAAGTCATTTCCGACGAACTTTCTTCTTTTCTTTACTTTTTTTGTCACATACAATGATACAAATATATTGTATTATGCACAAATACACTCAAATACATTGTATTTTTATATAAATACATTATTTTTTTGCTTTTATGTATTCTGAAGGACTGTAATTTTTTACTACAGCCGAATATCACGGTGTTTTGTGATTTTTTGTTGTTTGAATATAGTGAATTGAATACGGTGACTTGAATACAATATATAATAGTGAATAATAAATATATGTAAATTAAATACAATGTACACAACCGAATTAAATACAATTTATTTTGTTGCATATTATACTTGCTGGGAACATCAGATTGTGCTTGAGCTATTTCGCTCCTCTTGATTTAAATTTTAAATGGATTGAGAAAACTATGGCGGAGTATTTATTTAGCAATTACATTGCCTTGCACTAGTTATTTTGGGTTTTATCCTTTCAACACATGCAAAACATCGTTTTCTTCTTAAGCTAATACCAGTAAAACACTTAGTCAGGATGCTTGTGTGGACTCTTATTAATAAATCACATCTCAAAAAGAATAGTACTAGTAAGAGGGAAATTATAAACCATTGCACCACTTAGTAATAAGGTAATGTGATGTAAAAGTTAATCATGAAAATGTGCATATAAGGACAGATCATTAACGTACCCGTAGCCTAAACAAATCAAAATGCAAAGTCAAAAAAATTGAACATTTTTTACTTCGTCATCATTATTTCTTGTTTTTTTAATTTGAAGTAAAATACAATTATCCTATAAGTTTTCTCATGGATTTTTTTTTCCAACCGTGGCAATTCTTTCTTACTCTTCAAAAATATATGTGGTTAAAGCTTAACGCTATTCCATAATATAAACAATAAAAAAGTGATTGTTTATACCAAGTATTATCGTGCATGAAATACTCCTAATTTGGAAAGATAGTTGAGTTGGACGGGTCTTGAGTACAATTACGGATGGCGGTTTCTAAATTGAGACACCATAGAAGTATTCTACGTTGAAAGTCAATATAAGAAGTATGTGTAAAAAATAAACAAGGGGGCTGAAAATTTTCAAGAGGCCTAAAACCGAAGCCAAAATAAGAAAGAGTCTTGGCCATGTACCCATTCAATTCAAACTTTGAATAACTATAATTAGCTCTTGTTTTCAGTCAAATCTTATTAATTTCAATTGTCAACTCTCCTTATAAATACGTGCCATTTCCCTTCTTTACCATAATCACAACTATAATCTTTTATCTCTTCTTTAACAGCTACTACTACACAAATCTCTATCATCTTTCTTTTCCATTCTAAATCAATTAACATCCCATTATAGAAAGAAAATATGGCAATCGTCCAATCTTCAAGTTTCTTGAGTTCAAGGAATTCTGTTCCCTCAACATCATCTAATTGCAGCTGTAAAAGAGGATTGATAAAAGCGAGTATTAATATTCCAAGAATTAAAACAAGCAAAATCTCTCTTCCCAATCTTCAAATAGGAGGGAGATCAGCAAAAGAACAAGAGCTGATTAGCTATTCAACCATAGTAAACAACCTCCTAGATGAGAAACAGCTTAGCACAGCTAGAACAAGAAGTGATGATATGAACAATGGTCCTGATCAGCTGGTTATCGCAAAGCTTTATGCGATTAAGGAGGCAGTTGCAGATAGAGTTGAGATGCATAGGAATATTGGGGAACAGAGAAGCCAGTGGAACGATATGCTTTTGACATCCATTAATGGCATAACTCTAGCTGCTGCTGCTATGACTGGAATTGCAGCTAGCAATGGTGCTAGTGGTGATGCTATTTTGGGACTAAAAATGTCTTCCACTTTGATGTATTTGGCTGCTACTGGCATGTTGGTGATCATCAACAAGATTCAACCATCCCAACTTGCTGAAGAACAAAGAAACGCGACAAGGTTGTTTCAAGATCTCTATAACCAAATTGAAACAACTTTATCAATCGGTCAGCCTTCAGCTATTGATGTGAAAGAAACAATGGACAAAGTATTGGCTCTTGACAAGGCCTACCCTCTCCCTCTTCTTGGCGTAATGCTTGAAAAATTTCCATCTTCTGTTGAACCTGCTGTTTGGTGGCCTCAACAACGTCGTAGACAGCCCAAAAGAGTCAGTGACGGCGATAAGTATAATGGCTGGAACGGGAAATTGGAGGAGGAAATGAAAGAAATAATGGGAGTGTTAGGCAGAAAAGACCAAGAAGAATATATTAGTCTAGGGAAAAAGGCCTTGAAATTTAACAAGTTTTTAGCCATCTCTGGTCCTTTTCTCACAGGCCTAGCAGCGATTGGCTCTGCATTTGTAGGTTCTTCTCCTTCTCATGGATCTTGGGCAGCTATGCTTGGAATTGTTGGTGGCGCTTTAGCAAGCGTTGTTAACATGGTTGAGCATGGTGGACAAGTTGGAATGGTATTCGAAATGTACAGGAGTAACGCTGGTTTCTTCGAGTACATGCAACAATCAATTGAATCAAACTTGACAGAAACAGATATGGAGAGAAGAGAAAATGGTGAAGTGTTTGAAATGAAGGTGGCTTTGAAGTTAGGAAGGAGCTTATCTGATCTAAGAAATCTTGCTGCTTCTTCTTCATCGAAAGCAGAAGATTTGGACGAGTTTGGGAGCAAACTTTTTTAGAGTTTGGCTATTCACAGTATAGAGCATTGACAAAATCAAGTGTATAGTTATTTTTTTATTCAATTACTATATATCTGTACACCCGAGTAGGGATTCCTTAATTCTTTGTTCATACAGCCTTATTGATTAATCTTAATTCTTTGTTCATATGGCCTGATGGATTCTTAATTATTTTGTTGCTTAATGAAAGATATTTTATACTATATATTATTACATAATTTTATACCAATAAAGTTGGGACCTTTTTTTTGCTCTATATAGTAATCAACCCTTTATATTCTCTTTGCTGCATCAAAACAGTAACCAATCAACCACACACATATATATAATAGTAAGGATTATGCTTTTAATGGATGGATATATGATTGAAGTTCCAATATAAATATTACTCACTTTTTTACTCTTCTTATTGTTTGTATAATACCAATCTGTTCAGCGTTATCAACTCAAATATACTCCTCTTCTATTTTTTGAACATAAAAAACCATGCATATACACATGTTTCTGGCATGTTTTCCTTCTTTTCTTTTTCAACAACAATTTTGCATCATGTATATATCCTCCGCAACGCTGCCGCATAACGATCGAAAGTAAGCTTCATTACCATTTAGCTATATTTTCTTGAATATCACTCAAAATATAATTGAAAATATGACCCTCCTCACCTCTTTCTTTTTTGATAACACTGTGGATTACCATTGATAATCAACAGTACACCTGATAAGCACCTCGACCTTAAAACTCCTTATCTGGAGTGTTTCAGATCCAGCCTTAGAGATCACTAATTACACATCAACCTCTGCATCGATACACTACATCTCTGCCCTCTGCATCGATACACAACACCTCTGCCCTTTCTTAGTAATTAGTATGTCTAAACAAGTCAATCCTATCTACTAGTTCTTTTTTAATTTGTGTTCCTATACTCTCCATATTTACAATTGTATTCCTGAAAATTTTCCGATTCCTAGCCTTTCAAATATGACATACTATTGCTGCCCATAATAGTATGATCATGCCCTTTTTAATGTCAATTATGAGGGCCATTGAAGAATGTATAACGACGGGCATGAGTGACAAATTCTTTAACCGGCAGTGTACTAAATGCTGTAGAATATTCTCCATTAAATACTGCCGGATAGTAGTATTTTTTTTAATCAAAAACCACTATGGTGGTGGGGGGTTAGGCCACGACCCCTACCAGTTTATTAATACCACAAAAAAATAGTACATGGAGGAGGATATAAACCGTGGCCTCCATTACAGAGTGAAGAATGTTCTTAAACATCCTTATGGTGGATCGCTCAACAGAAAGTTTCTGGCTAGAGGACTTCTCCTCCTTTACAATTGACCTTAGTAAGGTAGCAAAAAAGGTGAACAATGCTAGCAGTCCATACATCAATTACTAACTACTCATTTTGGCTTGTCTAACTCTTAAGTATATAGAAAGAACCTCTAGCAGCTTGTGGTAGTTCTTGGACTGAGAAGAACATATCAGCAATCCCTTGATCCTGCATTTAGAGGCGGACTCGGGACTCGAGCATGATGGGGCACCACTGTATATGCTAATCGCCAGCGATAAAATTCGGTGTGCAACTCTTTGAAAAATGAATATGATGACTTATCATCCAAGTATTAACATAAAGAAGTTCTAAAGAAAAAGAAAGCACTAGACGGGGGGGGGGGG